GCACTTTCTCCGGACTTGAATCCGATTGAGAATGTCTGGGGGATTCTTGCTCGGGCTGTTTATCACGGCGGGCAACAGTATTTGAACGTCAACGACCTCAAGGTAGCCATACTCGACGCATGGGAGAAGCTGGAGCTGTCTCGGGTTCAAAACTTAGTCGATTCAATGCCTGATCGCGTTGCAGACATAATGGAAGAGAAAGATAAGAAAACAAAGCATTAGGAGACAAAAATCATGTCCTAATAAGCTCAAAACAAGCCCAAGTTTCCATGGCTACTTACTTTTGGCCAGCGTCAGAATGATGGTCAGTTCTGTTGCTCCACAACCAGGAATCGAGCTCGAGAAAAAAATGGTATCACTGGATTGCTTGTCGTCAAAATAGCCTAATTACATGTTTTTAGCTTAATTCGTGCATTTTTGATGCAATTAGTCGCGAAAAACCGATGGCTACATATTTATGGCCAGCACTGTAATACTTCTTCTGATGTCCTTGGGCTTGGCGAAGATGAGTCTTGATCAAATCAATGATTTCTTGACATTTGTATTGGTACTGTTTGCATATTCCACGTTGCACTTGTGTCATGGTACTAAGGTTATCCGAAGGATTCAACGTTTCGCTCCTTGCAGTATCAACTTCGAAGGGCGACATACCGGTAGATGCGCTGACGAGAGTAGCGTGAGCATGCTCAATCGTTCCTAGATGATCCGACTAATCACGTCCGTTGTACGATACCATGCAGCGTAGAGCACCTTCCAGAATCAGATTCCAACGTTCGGTTTGTCCATCGGCTTGGGCACGATAGGAAGTTGTCATGTGCAGACGAATCCCCATCAGCTTAGCCCTTCACGTGGTGAGCTGAGCGTTTAAAGGTGTTTCTCCAGGCTAGTGGAGAAGACACAAACGTCATCCAGACAGACAACAATGAAGATCGCAAAAGCACTCTCATGAGGCGAGACGAAACACAGCCAAACCATAGGAGCTACACACCACTGCTAAGTTTTAGCAAGCGTGCGAAAGGTGGTATACCTGCGACTCTTGAGCTCGATACACATCTGATGATATCCTTGGGCCAGATCCAGAACGGAAAAGATGGCGCAACCAGACATCTGTTCAAAGAGTAAATCAATGCGAGGCAGCGGAATCTTTGGAGCGATCGACAGCGAGTTGACGTAACGGTAGTCGTACCCAGCGGATCGGTAAGGTTGAATTTCCAGACCGTATCCACTCAGAGCGCGAGAGCTGATGCCCAGAAGTAGGATCTTTCTTAGGAATCCCTAAGGTATTGGAGAATTGGTAATCTCGATCCATCCTTTCTTTAGCTTTTCAGCAACTAAGAGATCAAGTGCATCCTGCTCTACCTTTGACGGCGGAACGGAGAACGATTGATTGCTTGGAACAGCATCAGGCTCCATGTTGAGTCCGAAGTCAACACAACACGAAGGCGGGAATCCATCCGGAAAAGTCTCCGAAAAGACTTCAGTAATTCCTTCAATAACTGAGTGGTCGGAATAGTCGTTGAGACTTTCACAGACATGACAGCACATATCTTCACACGGTATACCTTGTCATACACGTGTTTCTTCACATTGCGTTTGAAGTCGTCGGCGGCAATCTCCGCAGCTGCTTCCGTAACAATTGGTGGCGGAGATGCACGAGACGCACTTGGAAATATAATCTCATATGAACGCCAATCGACGCATGGTTGGAACTTGGTAAACCAAGGTTTTCCTAAGATGACATCATGAGCAGATGCAGCGGGGCTGCCGTAGCTTAGCGTCAGAGGAAGACGGTTAACTCAAAGAGTACAGGGGTTAACTCAACACCCTAA